CGCGTGGTGGGGGTATCCTCAGCGGCCCACCGGCGTGGGCGCCTCGACTTCACACGTCTGAACCGTCCGGTGGTGGGTTGGCAGCAGGAGCTGCGGGCATACGCTGACAGTAAGCTGGCCAACGTATTGTTTGCCCGGGAGCTTGCCACTCAGCTTGAGGGCACTGGTGTCACCTGCTATGCAGCTCACCCAGGTGAGGCCTGGTTCCTTGGTTGTTCCTGATTCCCTTCTCCCATCGTTGCTCTATCCTGTGTTTCTCAGCCCCTCTTTCTTTCTCTCTTCCTTCCTTCTTTCTTTTTTTTAATTTTTTTTTTATTTTTATTTATTTTTTTTGAGAGATTTTTACTATAGGGCGCGTGCGCTCGCCAGACAGAGAGAGACATTAGAGACAGTTTTTCCGGGTCCGGGACGCGAACCGCGGTCGACTACGTGGGAGTCCAGCGACATAGCCATTATGCTAACTGCTGGTTCCCCTTCCTTTTTTCTTTTTAAAAATAATTATTTATTTATTTATTTTTAAGTTGACCAGACAGAGATAGAGAGAAAGGGAAAGCAAGAAAGCAAGCTGCCAAGTTCAGGACTCAAACCACAGTCAGCCATGTGGGAATCCAGCACTTTTAATCACCATGCCACCTGCTGGCCCCCCTTTCTTTAAAAGAAAATATTTGTATGTTTTAAGATTAATTTTTAAGTTTATTTATTTATTTCTTCCATGAGTGAGAGACAGAAAGACAGCACCCCAGTAGGTCCTGATACCTCAGTTTACTCCCAGAATCAGCCAACCCTGGACCCTGGGCACCTGCATGCCTGGTGTACTTAGGGAGTCTCCAGACATAAACCCAGAACCTTCTAGATGGGTCAGGTGCTCAGAGCATAGCAATTTACCACTGCGTCACTCCAACCCCCCCACCCCCGCCTCTGGTTGAGTCACCGAATCTCAGAGCAGTAAGGAAGCCCTGTCCAAAGAACAACATCCTTGCCGATGTTGGAACCAAGCTGCCCTTGTCTGGGTTCTTCTTTCAGATCAATGAAGAGAACCCAGGTTCTTACCCTGAAGACCCTTCTATACTGCCTGAACTGACTATATGTTATGATGATGATGACAGCTAATAATTATTAATTCATTCACAAAGAATTACTGAGTACCTACCGCTGATCAGGAAGTATTTGCAGTGCTAAAAACGAAGACCCAACCAGACAGAGTTTGCATTCCAGTCTAGGGCACAGGCTGACAGCCACTAAAAAATATATACAGGGGCCAACAGGTGGCATCATGGTTAGGGGCACTGGACTCCCCCATGGCCGACCATGGTTCAAGTCCCAGACCTGGCAGCTTGCTTTTTTCACTCTATCTTATCAGGAAGTATTTGCAGTGCTAAAAACGAAGACCCAACCAGACAGAGTTTGCATTCCAGTCTAGGGCACAGGCTGACAGCCACTAAAAAATATATACAGGGGCCAACAGGTGGCATCATGGTTAGGGGCACTGGACTCCCCCATGGCCGACCATGGTTCAAGTCCCAGACCTGGCAGCTTGCTTTTTTCACTCTATCTTGTTCTCTCTCTCTCACTCACTCTGTCCCTCTCTGGTCAAATTAAATAAATAAATACATGAATAAATAAAAAGTTAAATAATTCTTAAAATATATATATATATATATATATGGACCAGCAGTTGGCGTAATGGCTATGTCGCTGGACTCCCATGTAGTTGACTGCGGTTTGAGTCCTGGACCCGGTGGCTTAAACTCACGACAGGCGCGTGTGCGTGCATGCTCAAGATCCCGAGAAGAGGATGGAGGAGAAGGGATTGCAGCGAGGCCATCCCCTCTGGCGGGTGATTTCTCGCTTTCTGTTTCTCTATCTTTCTGGTGAACACATGCGCCCTATAGCAAAAACTTCTCCAAAATATATATATATACATACACACACACACACATATATACATATATACATACAATGACTGATGGTGATGAATGCTATTGGGGGAGCCAGCAGATGGCATAGCAGTTACATCGCTGGACTCTCACATGGCTGACCATGGTTCGAGTCCTGGACCCAGTGGCTTGAAAACCATGTCAGATGCATGTGTGTGCATGGCCCAGATCCCAGGAGGAAAATGGAAGAGAAGAGATTGCTGCATGACCACCACCCCCCAGGGGGGTGATTTCTCACTTTCTGTCTCTATGTCTCCGTCTCTTTCTCTCTGGCAAGCACATGCACCTAAGGCAAAAACTTTTCAAAAAAAATTTTTTAAACCTCTAAAAAAGAGATGGGGACCAGTGAGTGGGATGGTAGTTAAGGTGCTAGAAATTCCTGCATGGCTGACCACAGTTCAAGACCCAAATCTGGTGGCTTCTTTCTCACTTTCTTTCTCTCTCTCTCTCTCTCTCTCTCTTTCCTCTGGTCAAATGAAAATAAATGATTAGGGGGACCAGAAGATGGTGTGGTGGTTGAGGGTGCTGGACTCCCACATTGCCGATAGTGGTTTGAGTCCCAGACATGGTGACTTGCTTTCTCACTTTCCCTCTCTCTATCTCTCTTTCACTCTGACCCTCTCTGATCACATTAAAAATAAATAATAAATAAATAATTTTTAAAAACTTAATAATAACAAAATAAAGAAATAATTATTAATAAATAAATGAATAAAATGAAATTAAATAATTCTAAATAAATAATTTTTTTGAGAGATTTTCACTATAGGGTGCGTGTGCTTGCCAGACAGACAGAGAGAGACATAGAGATAGAAGTGAATTTCCAATACCCTCCCTCGCCTCATAAGTCACCAGCCTTGACATTCAAGGGCACACAAAAATTCCTAAGTTTCCCTGCAGCCTCTAGCTGGAGCCCCAGCGTAGTATTCCAAAAACCTCTCAAAAAACTATTTTATTTTATTTCTGTATTTTAATTTGACCTGAGAGGGACAACACGAGAGAGAGACAGAGAGAGAGTGAGAGAGAGAGAAACAGGTTCAGGACTCAAACCGTGGTTGGCCATGTGGGAGTACAACATCCTCAACCACCACACCACCTGCTGGCTCCTATTTATTTTCATTCTATTTATTCATTCATTTATTTTAATTTGACCAGAGAGAGACACAGAGAGGGGGAAAGTGAGAAAGCAAGCCACCAGGTCCAGGACTCGAACCGTGGTCAACCATGTGGGAATGTCCAGCGCCTGAACCACCACACCACCTGCTGGCCCCCTGGTGGCTTGCTTTCTCACTTTCCTTCTCTCTCTCTCTCACTCTGTCCCTCTCTGGTCAAATTAAGATAAATAAAATAATATTTAAAAAAAAAAAAAGAGTGCTACTGGGAAAGATAAAACAAGGTAAGGCAAATATGGAATGCCAGGAGGTACTTATCAATGGAGGTCAAGGAAGACTTACCTAAAAGGTGACTTTTTTGGGACCAGCAGTTGGCATAATGGATATGTTCCTGGACTCCCATGTGGTCGACCATGGTTCAAGTCTCGGACCCGGTAGCTTAGACTCACTCTGGGCATGTATGAGTGTGTGCCCACGATCCCGAAAGAAGAATGGAGGAGAAGGAATTGTGGCGTGGCCATCGCCCTGGGGGGGGGTGACTTCTCGCTTTCTGTCTCTCTCTCTTTCTGGTGAGTGCATGAGCCCTATAGCAAAAACCTCTAAAAAAAAAAATTGGTGATTGGTGTTTGTTGAATAAATAAAACACTGGATTGTATTTTCTTGTGATTTTTAAAAAGTTTATTTACTTATTTCGTGAGATAGGTAGGATTCCCTAACAGGGTCCTGTCATGTCATGATCTGCTCACCCTCCTTTCCACCAGCCAGGATCATAGGTCTGCCCAGTGTATTCAGATGGACCTGGGAACAGAACCGAGGGCCTTCCCAGATGACTTCAGTATCTTGCAGTGGTGCCCACCTGTGGATAACAGAACACAGCTAGGCCCATTAGCTTCCATTTGGGAAGGTCTTCCTTGTGCAGGTTGTGGAGAAAACCAGTTTGGTGTATATGCAATTAAATAACAACAGCAATTACATGTTAATGAATAAATGACATGCTTTTCGGTAACCTCCAGAAACAACCTTCCAATTCAGGGACTGAAGAAACAAGCAAATGAAGGTCCCATACAGGCAGGTAAAAAACAGGTTAAACAATGAAAGGTTCCCAGGTTGGGAGCAACAGGGGCTCAGAACAGAGGCTGGCACTCAGGTAAGCAAAGAGAGGTTTAATTTGGTTTAGACAGAAAAGACTTCCTATGGAAATAAAGAGGGGAAAATCCTGACTGGACTGACAGAAGGGGATGACTTTGTGGCATTTGACTCCAAAAGAATTCATTCAGACACAGGGCCTCCCTCAGTGACAACTGCCTACAAATGCAAATAGCTGGATTCTTGGTCCACTGCTCTGTTGCTCCAACATAGCTTTATTCTTGAATATTTCTCTAGGACTGCTGAAATCCTGAGTTGCAAGCCATAGGAATGATTTAGGGACATCCTTTTATTTGACGAGAGACTCTAAGATGCAACACCTGGAATCCAGACCAGAAAGACTCTTCTCACAGGGCCTACTCAGAAGCAGGCAGGCATGTCAAGGTGGTCTGGGTGGATGGCCTTATCCTGAAGACTCTGACCACAAGGTCCAAGACTTCAGGTGATGGTGTAACAGTAATGACCCAGAGCCTGGTTTCTTTGGGACACAAATCAAACAAGGCATTACAAAGAATTGTACATTAAAAGAATTAGGTAGTAAGTCACAAACAAGTTTGATAAACCCAGTCTTTCTTCTCTAATAACATAGTATTTTCTCTTTATAACATGTTAACAGTCAGAGCAATTTGCTAGAGAAAGCATAATTAAGCGTTTCGTTCTAACCTGCAACTCTGGGAAATGGGGAAACTTCAGGGAAGCACATACCATGTTTTCTTGTTCAAACTGCGTGCAGAGCGAACAACGAACGTCTTATCTACCTCTCGACTTTATCCCTGTCTTGTTTACCCATTCACAATGGCACTTCCTGCGACTAAAACTTTTTTACGGGTCAATGGAACATTCTGGTGACGAGGACACCTCTGTCTCTTTGAAAAAGTTTCTCCCTTGAACATACACAACCTAAAAGCTCTTTACTTAAATACATACAGGTGCTTTGTGTAGGAACAGGTCACGGATCCACGCAACTCTCCCTTGGATAGCTCATCAGGAGCCTGGAGCCTTGAGTCCCAGACCTGGAAAAAGGGTTCCATCCTCTAAACCTCGGCGTTCGCATCTGCACATCGGCTCGCTCAAAGGCAGTGACCAAGACGCAAGGCTACCGGGCCCAGAAAGCGCCGAACCAACCCCCTCC